AGATTGAAGAGCCCTCTATGATCAAATTTTACAATTAGGGTATGTGTGTCTTTTAACTAGATGTCTGTAAATACCATTGTTATTGAGCTGCGCTTTTTCTGTTGATTTTCTGTGCACAAATAAGGATATCTGAGTCATTCATAAAAGAAAACTCTGATATTTATTCAGCTATATATCATTTTGTAGATGTACTTAAGCTATTATATTGTTAAGTGCCATAATATAGCATGGTGATTATAGGAATCTCCTTCATTGCATACTGTATAAACTAGTTCTGTGAGTTTGGCTTTCACAGGAACCTTAACCACATCACATATCTTAATATTGTTCTTTGTGTTTGTCATTTTGTAATGCCTTAAGGAGTCATTTACTTGCCAGAATAAATCTTGAGCTAAATAACTTGTTGCATATCCAGCTTCAAGGAACTGAAAGGTTAGAAGAAGATCTGGTCTTGTATTTTTCCAGTCCAATATGTGGTTTCTAGAAGCATTAAAACTGTGAAAAATCTGAACCCAAATACAAATGTACATAATGGTACATTTATGCTTCACCTGCCCAGTTCTCCATGCACAATGTATTGCTACTGGTACTTTATCAGTTGTTCTTTTATGAATACATACATGATATTTGGTACACCTCTACCTCGATATAACGCTGTCCTCGGGAGCCAAAAAAGCTTACCGCGTTATAGGTGAAACTGCATTATATCGAACTTGCTTTGATCTGCCGGAGTGCGCAGCCCTGCCCCCCCCCACGGAGCACTGCTTTACCGTGTTACATCCGAATTCGTGTTATATCGGGTCGCGTTATATTGGGGTAGAGGTGTATATTAAATAAACAGTTCTTCAAAAATGTTTCTGGCACGAATTGCCACACTAGAGTAGGCAGCATATACTTCTGATGCTTTGGCTGTTACTGCTGTTTCAAGGCGAGTTGCTGTAGTCACACGATATTCTGTTAGATAACAGCTTGGGGGTAACATTGTGACTCATTGCTTGTCAAGAAAAAGAATTCTAATTTTAATCTATGAGCGGCTGAAGTGTTTGTGCAAAAAGTAACACTAAGTATATGCTTGGTGCCTGGTGTTTGGAAGGGGACGGTAGTATGTGTCACCACAGTAACTCTCTGTGCTTTTGCTCAGCTGTTGGAATGATCTGAGTATCATAGCAATTAGAAAAAGGCCAAAGCCACAAAGTTCAGATCTAAGCAGACGTCCAGATCTGAATCTGGCTTGCCTAAAAGCTTGAGGATGCTTGGATCTGTAGTTTTTGTTCAGCCCATAATGGAAATAGGGCAGTAGCAAGTTTGGGGGGAGGTTGTTGAGATCCTGAATTTTTTGGTTGATCCTGATCATCATGTCTCTAATAACAGTTCATTTCTGTACTGTGAGATTCTCATTCTCTCTCTGCAAGACCTCTCAAGTAGCCTGGCTTGCACTGGGATTTCTTTGCATATCTATCTGCTCAAAAAAAAATCTCCATACAGTTCATAAGGGTGATGCTTCCAAATGCATAACTTAGTTCACAAAGAGAGAAAATATTAAAACCATAGTCACTGATTTTCTTCAAAAAGCCTTTTTTTTAAACCCTCAGGTCCCTTAGACATCTGTAGCTTTGCTATCTTTCTTGCATACTTTACCAACCTTCCTGTGTCGTATCTCAGCAATGCCTCTCCTCATTTGCTGGAAATTAAGTTTGCTTTCAGGCATAACTCAAACCCTCCAGACAGAGGAAATAACATGTTTAATAAAACCTTAAAATAAGAAGTGAAGGGAAAAGTCTCCTGTGTTCCTTGCCACCTTCGCATTGCCTGCAATGCTGTCAGTGATGCACCCACACAGCCTATAAGGGTTTCACTTCCAACTTCAACAGTCACGAAAAGAAATACTCACCCTAAACTTCATCCAACTCTCACTCTAATGTACAACCTTAACAGTGACCTCATGCCCTGTTGTATAACAGGTTGGCACATCTGATCAGCCTTCCTGTGTAGTAGCTCAGCAATGCCTCGCTTACTATTTATTTATTTTTACAGATGTCAAGAGCATGTTGTGCATTTTACAAGACAAATAGATAAAGGAGCTCCGCCCCCAAAAGAACTTACAGTCCATCCTTAGATAGGACAAGTGTAGGTAGCAGCCAGCTAAAGGGAAGGAGGAGGAGGACCGGGATTACAGTAAGGAAATCCTCCAGGTACTCAGGCAAGGTGGTTAAAATAAACGTTTTGGATTTTTTAAAACAATTATTATTGTTGTTTACTCACTTCCTGAATGAGGAGAGAGTAGTGGCTTGGTGGACCAGATTGGCCTACAATTATTCTGTCTACAATATTATAGCTTACAATTGGAGATATCACTTTTTTAGTTTAAATTTGAACACCAATTATAAACACTGATCAAACTTTTCAAGAATCAGTTTTATGAAATAAATACTGAAAAACCAGAAAGGGGCTTGGGGCCGGGCCGGAGGTGCTCAGCCGGGGTTGGGCCGGCGCGCTCGGCCGGAACCGGGGCCGCCGCCCTGGGGCCTGAGCCGGAGCGGCTGGAGCCGGGGGTGCTCGTCCGGGGCCGGGCCAGCACGCTCGGCTGGGGCCAGGGCTGGAGCCGCTGGGGCGGCCGGACACCGCTCAGCCTGGGCTGGAGGGAGCCGCTCGGCCAGGGCTGCGCCTCCCCGGAGCTCTCCTCTTCTCCCCCACCCCCCGCCCCAGCTTACCTGCTGCTGCCGCCCACCTGCTCCTGCTTCTTTTCAGACTTCCCGCGAAGATCTGATTTGCGGGAAGCGGGGGAGGGGGAGGAGCAGGGGGGCGGAGCATTCAGGGGAGGGGAGGAGGGGGAAGACAGCTGTGGGGCCGGACGGCGTGGTAAGGCTGCAGGGGCTACAGGGGATGGGGGGAGCAGGGAAGGGGCTTTGGCTGCCTGTCTATAAATAGACGACCGGGGGGAAATCCCGGACATTTTTAGATTTTTAGAAATCCCCCCCGGACGGCTATTTATAGACCAAAAAGCCGGACATGTCCGGGGAAAGCCGGACATGTCCGGGGAAATCCGGACATATGGTAGCCCTAACTATGGGATCAGTTACATGCACCCATTATTACTTCCTATTCATGATTCCTGTTTCAGTTGTGCATAGCAGCGATGTGGTGAGCACTTGAGTTTTCTATGGTTACATGCCATATGGGAATACAAACAAGAAATGAGATGGCTCCACAAAGGTGTTATACATATTTATTGTAATGTTTGTGTTTATTTCATTGCTAATGGAACGACTGATGTCTACTCAAATTTCTGCAGTCACAATTTAAGTAAACCTTTAGAAAAGAATGATCTACGAAGTTGCAGGACACTAAAGTAGCCAAAATCAACACTGCAAATAAAAAATATATATAGACCCCAAACGCACACCCGCATTAATAAACAGTAACGTTACTTTATCTCAAATCATAGTCACAGCCATTGATTTCAATGGGACTATTTGCATATAAGGGGAACACAATTTAGCCATGTATAATAACAATCAGGGTTTGACATAAACCTAAAAAAGCAAGAAAATACAGTCTGAATTTATCCTTAATTCATTTTGGTTTTGCTTGGATATTGCAGCACAGATGGTATTTACATCAGTCACATGGGTTCCAAAAAACCCAACCAAAACAGGCTGACCTGGTTATTTTGGGAGCTTATGAGGGGTGTCTCCTACTAAAATGTCCAAAGTGACTTCTACCACATGCTGCAACAGCCAAGTTATAAACCCATAAGAGAGTGGGTGTATAATGGAAACGGTGACAGAAGATTTTAAATAAACAACAAACTCCATTTTGCTCAACCTAGCAGTTTGAAAGTGGATGAGCTAAAGAAGTATTTCTCACAATGGTTAAGCTGTGAAATGTATTTGAAAGTGCAGGCCACAATCTTCAAACTTGGTTGCCTGAAATTAGGCACCTAAATAAGTGACCTGACTTCCCGAATTGTTGAGGATGCGTAACCTTGACTGATGTCTGTGGTTGGCTGCAGTGCGGATTATAGTTGCTGAGCTGAGCTGCATGCATTCTAAAGGGAAATATTACACTGCATATGGATAGCATAGTTCTTCAAGTCCTTCCCCATATTTGTACCTTCAAATGAGTATGGTGGGATTGGTATTCAGCTATTTCAGGCTTTCCTGGTACTTATTTCCTAACAGTAAACTTTGTACCATTCTGAAGTCAACTATTTTATGTGTATCTGTGTTAAAAAACTGTCTGTTATATCATCTTTCATACTAGACACGGCTATTAAAGCTGGGCCTGGGCTAGTTGGTTCAGTAATGCTGTTCAAGGATGTCTACTGGATTGTGTGCATTTCATCTACATTACATTATTCTATGCTAACATTGTGAGGATCGTCACTGGGGCTCAGCTAATCGAGATTAGTAAAAGGGAGTTGACCTTTATCACAACCCTGGAGAGAGGGTAGAGGAAAACCACGGGGCCTGGAGAAGTAACCTAGCAGCTCTGTATGGTATGTTGAGCTCAGCAAAGTTCAGACAGGAGGAAGAGAAAATATGTACAGTACAGGAAGGAGCTATGTTAACTTAGGGCAAAATCCTGCCCTATATCAGCAAAAGTGTATTTGTGAGTGAATTTGGAGGGCTGGAGCAATAGCAGCCACTCAGAGAGTTTGGGAGCCCTTCTGCTGATGCAGGACAGGATGTATTCCTGTGTCCTCTTGCTTTCTTTAATACATCTGTGCTTAGGGTGACCAGATGTCCCGATTTTATAGGGACAGTCCCAATTTTGGGGTCTTTTTCTTATATAGGCTCCTATTACCCCCACCCCGTGTCCTGATTTTTTTCACGTTTGATGTCTGGTCACCCTGTCTGTGCTGGAGAGAGAAGGCCTTGCCACAGGTTGAAACCTCAAAAATAAATGCAAAACTCTGCCTCCTGTATTTGAAAGTTTTATGCTATGCTCTGAAAATACACATCAGCAAATGTGCATGAAACAATGTGTTTTGTTCATAGCTTTGATGTGGAAAATGGCCCGTCACCAGGTCGCAGCCCATTGGACCCCCAGGCCAGCTCTTCTTCAGGACTTGTATTGCATACCACTTTTCCAGGCCACAGCCAGCGCCGGGAGTCATTTCTTTACAGATCAGACAGTGACTATGACTTATCACCAAAGACTATGTCCAGGAACTCCTCTCTTCCAAGTGAACAGTGAGTATGAATCCAATTTACATCATTCATCACAGTAATGAGACCAAGCACTTTACAAACATCTCTGTAATCTTCATAATACCTCAAAGAGGTAATTATGTATTTTATAGAGGGAGAACCTGAGGCAAAGTGGTTTTTATTAAACAACCCAGGCCAAATCAGGAGCTCATGACCCCCAGCTATGTGCGCACAAGGCTCAATGTTTTAGCCTATTAAATAAATGTTTCCCAGCTAGTAAAAGAGCATTGCAAATCAATGTTCTGAAATAGCGTTGTTGTTGTAGTCCCTTTACATGTTACTTGTATGAAAATTGGTTCTTTTTTTAATAGATGAGGTTCATTGTTATTTTCAGCCAAATTACCTAAATCACTTACCTTATATTTCAAATATATTCTTATGTTTTGATATGATACTTTATTTTTTTGTAATGTATGGTTAATATAATACAGTGAAGACCATGTTAGAAAACATGTATAGATGGATGGATAGACAGGATTGGTAAAAAAAATATGTCATGTAGATTAAATAGGTTTACTTGATTTGGGGTCTTTTAGTTAAAAGTGCACATTTTAACATTTTTCTGTTGGCTTTTTCTTGGTGGCTTGGTAGGAGACCACATGAGAGTGGAGAAATTGGCCTCATTAGACACACTTTCCATGCTTTTAAATGAAGGCAGGTAACCAAATCTATGTGCCAGTAATTATATTCCAGCAACTGAATGCCTCTTATTGGGCAAAGGCATCAATATTCATAACGTTTTATGGAGGGGAAAACTGAGAATTTTTCAAGTGAATTTAATTCTGGGGAAAGGTGCCAGAAATTGAAGATTCTTTCTATAGATCAGATGGAGCAAGAGGCTGCTGCAGTCTGTTTCCCCATGCAGCTCTCCTCAGCAGGAACTGTCTCAAGGCAGCTCAGCTACTGGAGGGTAGTTCATTCTTCATGTCTAATCAGTTTTTAGTCTCGTTACAGAGACTACCAAGGCTGTGCTAACTAGTGCCAACCGTGAGGGCAGGTTTTATGATAGAACTCCTGTTTGAGACCGTGAACTCATTTCATGGGTCAGTTAAGCAACCACTCAATGGTGGTTATTGAAGACGAGATTGGATCTGCTGACCTTGCACACAGTGTCTATATCCAGTTACCAGTTGGCATTAATTTATAAAATAGGTGGTGTTTTCATAAGAAATGGTCTCATAATTAGAAATGGGAGACAGTAAATAGGTAAAGTATAATGGATTATAGTGTGTTTTTGTTTTTCATGAGTGTGAAGGATCTCTCAGACTTCTGTAGCAATTTAATGGAAGCTTATAGGATTTTTATAAGCATTTCTAAAGGGCCTTGTGGAGTACCATAGTAATTACTAGCGGTGGGGCTATATAAACCTTAGACACAAAAGTTTCAAAATTAATTAAAGGGATTGGGCCTTTATTTCATTTCTAAATATTAACCTATTGCCTATTTTAGAGCAGAATTAAGCCCTATTCAGTCCTAAAATATTGGTATTAATGCACACACAGGAAGTTATGTATAAATGCCATGACCTCAGAAAATAAGAACGTTGGCTATATGTGGTGTTATCAGGAACATGTATAAATTCAAAATGTCAGGCATGGGCTCTTAATGTGAGAGCAAATAAATTTACAAATTAAGAACAGTACTTATTCTCCATTAAATTCAAAATCTGTCTTTTTTCTCTAAAAACAAAGTTAAATAGATTATTATATGAATTATAAATATTTTATAGTGTAATAGAAATCTAAAAGTTAGCAAGATGGCCCAGCTATCATGAGAAATACCTACCAAAAAATCTCTAGCTATAGTTAGCATTTAGCAAATATTTACATAAGAGACTGTAACATCTCTAAATTATGTAAATAATATATTATAAGCTAATAATATGTTTTACATTTGACAAAAATTATAATTATCTGCTGAAGCAAAAGGATTTGTTGTAATGGCTAAGGTCAATCAATGCAAATCTGCATACTAAAGTATGTGTACTATAAAAAGCGTGGTATGATATGTACTCAACTGGATAAAATGCTCAGTACATATTTAGTTGATTATAAATACAAATACATAATATTTACCAACCCCCTCCCCCCCCCACCAAAGATAGTAATGCATTTTGCACAGTACATATTCTCTAATCTTCTATGATGAAAATCCACAAACAAGAAACAATGTTTAAATAACATTAAAGGCTGTGACACGAATCAACAAAAGCCAGGAAATTCAAAGATGACCTTTACTCAGACTGTTATGCTTTTTTTTCCATCACAGTATGAGTGAGCCACCTTAACCTTGAATTTCCTGGCATTTATTGCCTTGTGTTACCAAAACTGAGCAGTTGTTCCAGCTTCAGTTGTTTTTTGTCTATGAACATGCACTGTGACTAGGGGACCTTTCCATCAGGAGCAACCTTTTATGTAATTTAAAGAAACAGTATGTGTAGTAAAGATTTATTTTTGAATAGTGGGGCTATATGAGAAAACATTGCATTGTAAAATGCTCTTTTTCCAATTTGAAATTAAACTGTATTTGATATAAATATTTATATTTGCTCATAAATATTAAGGAGCCAGTTTTTAGTTCCAGCCTTGAGTTTTGCTTACACAAGTCAGGCAGTTGAGTACCCAGCTTCCCAAGTTGAATATGCATATATTGTGTTTGTGTGCACTGAATGGATGCCCACCCACTTTAGTAGATACATCCATTTGCTAGCAAGCAAAAGTTGCAGCATAAAATAAAAGGCTAGCATAATGCTTGGTTTGGCTGACTGTACATTAGTGATTACATTCTGTGCAGAATATTTATATCATATAATTTGATGAGTATGTGTATGTACTGTACTAAAATACTGATAATTATTCTCTAACATATGATTCACACTTTTTTTTCATTTATTTTAGACATGGAGATGACTTGATTGTTACACCTTTTGCACAGGTAAATTTCAAATAGTCTCTATGTTTATACTATACATTGATAAATTGAATGGAATAGAAAGTTGTCCTTCAGCATCTTTGCTCCTATATTAATATATATATTGAAAATTTGCACGTTTGTAAAAAAAAATTTTAATAGTATATGTTTTTGTTTACTTTAGGTCTTGGCAAGTTTACGAAGTGTGAGAAATAACTTTACTTTATTGACAAATTTGCAAGGAACATCAAACAAGTAAGCTTTCTGCTTTTAATTACATTTGTTTTTAAGTACAATATATACATGTTGGGCCATATTTTCAATCTGAATTCAATCCAGTTTCTATTTGTTCAGGCACAATTTTCCACCTGCTAAGAACTGTGACTGTAGTTTTGTCCATGGGATGAACTTCAAGAAAAATATTCATATTTAGATCATAACCTTTTTGGTCCAGGACTGTCTATTACTCTTTGCCTGGTGCAGGGGGACCCAAATTCTTGGTTGGTCCCCAGGCATTACTGTAATAAACATAATTACTACTACTAATATGTCTAACTACTAATATCTGTGCTTGTTATTCAGTGCATATACAAAAATGAACATTAGTGTGGAAAATTGGCCCATTGTGAGAGAACATACTCATGCCTCTGCATTAAATACTAACATTTAGAAAATTACCCGTTAGCTCATTTGTATGGTACTTCAAAACTTAGCTACTAGATGGCGAACTTCACTGTAATTTATGTCAAATAAAATTGTACAAATTATAAATCTCAGGATGATAAAATTACTGGCAGTACATTTGGGGATATATTTTATTATGGCATTTACATTTCCTAGTATTGATTGTATATGAATATTGATATTTGAAAACCAGAAAATCTGATTATAATTAATGGTGAACAAAATGCAAAGAATTCTCCTATCTGGTGCAGATAAGTCTCTAAAATCGGAATGCAAATAGAAAGCTTATCAGCACCTTTGGAAGTTCTGTTCCTCTTCTTTGTGTCCCATCCTTGGTCATTCCTTCTCCATCCATTCTTGCAGATCAGTTGATTCCTTCCCTTTTATTTTCATTTCTTCCCCTTTCCCAAACCTGCCTGCCTGCCATCACTGCCTCTCTTCATCTGAAAACAACGTATTGGCTCTCAGGGAGAGTAGGAATTAAAACCTGAGCTGAGCTGAATGGGATCAGGTGATGGAGCAGCTGGAGCTGATGGCCCTGTGTGTGTGTGTGTGTGTGTGTGTGTGTGTGAAGAGAACAGCCTTGGAACAAAGCAGCCCAGGAGCCACTTCTGCTTTAAGAGGGAGAAGAAGGGATTCAGGAGCGGAGCAGCCCAAACAATATTAACTGTCCGTTCCAGTAGGGAAGTAGGGGGAAGGCAGAAAAGTACTGCTGCTCTTTGGTCAGGCTGGAGCGAGGGCACAGAGTGGCTGAAGATAGAGCAATTCCCAGGAAAGGAGAGACAGAGCCTAGAAAGATATCCCAGTAAGCCTGCAGAGCCTACCTCTTTTTTTTTTTTTTTTTTTTAAGCTTCTGCCTGTTATTTCCAACAGCAACAGCAGAGAGCACCAGTGTGATTCTTCCAGCACAGGGGACTGTTTTTCTCTCCCCATCCTACCTTGAACCGATCCATTATTTAATGCTGCCCCTGGGAAGAGCTTGGTCTTTGAGAGGAGGGGGAAGTCTGTACAGTGAGGAGCCTGAGCTCTGGGACCTGCATTCTAGGCTATCACAGGCTGATCCCAGGCCCTCCTCTCCTTTCCTTTTCCCCTGCCCAGGAGGCAAAGAACAAGCCTTTTCCCAGAGTGCCAGCCTTGAGGAGGAAGAGGAGAAAGCTCCTGGCCTCAAGGAGAGTGGGAGAGAAGAACCCACTGGTTCCTGGTGGGGCAGAATCTCCAGAGAGAGAGGGGCTGGATATAATTGGGGACAGAGGGGAATGCTGAGTGATGGTGAGCAATTGTGAAGGGGCAACTAATGGACTTGAGTGATTTGTGGGACAGTCTGGGGAGCAAGAGGAAGTGATGCTGCACACTAGTGTCTTCAGAAAGAGAGAACCATGCACTGGAAAGTGCTCCTGGGACTGACCTCTGATCCCACCTACTCTCTGCCCCTGACTGAGCTAACTCTTCATCTGTCTGCAATGCTGCCCCTAACTTAGTAACCCTACCTGGCATGATAAACAGAAAAAAAGGTTAACTAGGAGGGGAGGAAGAAATAATATTTATAAACTAGCATTTTAAAAAGATGAGTTATCATTCAGTTTGCCATTCTGGATTTCCCAGCCTTTTATTAGAAGCACAATATGCTGTTTCAGACCAGACCCATTAGTCACATTTGACTAATCTGTAGGACCGACCAATATCATTTTCAGTCATTTATTAAAGAAACTGCTTCTCTATACACACACACACACACACACACACACGAGCTAGAGAGGCAGTTTCATTAGTACATGACTGAAAACGATACATAATATAAGATGAAAATATGTTTACAAGTAAAATCCAGAGTAGTGCGTACAATAAACTTAATTTTAAATCTAAAGTGCTCAGCATGTTCATTTTCATTTTAAGATTTTTTTTTTTCTGATGTGGAGTAGAAAGCATTGGAAACAAGTAAAATGTTCTTTTAACTCCCTTGTCCTGAACATTTTCTATCTTGCTTAGCCTTTTATATTGCCACAGTTATAGTGATCATTTGTTTCTGTGTTCTGCTTTGAAATAGCCACTTCATATGAAGTCACCATTAATATCACTTCTGGGTTAGTCAGGGTTATCGTTGAAAAGTACTATCTGGTAGGTCCTTGGAATTTTGCTCTTGACATTGTCTGTTTTAGGTGACACCTATTAAGTTTCTCTAACATTTTCTGACAAAATGTCCCACTTTCATTTGCATATAACTTTGAAAACTTTAATCTTCCAGAGTAAAATTTTCCATGCTTTGTCTGCCTCGGTGGTATTTTTTTTTTTTTTTTAAGTTTTTAAAGTTTTTAAACAAGCCATTTTCCAGAGGGAGGGTAGTTAAAAATCGATAGTTCTGGTTAGGTTTTAAAAAAAGGTTTCAGATCATTTTTTGAACAGCTGTAGCGTCTCAAAGGTTGGGAGTCGCAATCTGCAGTTTGGCAGGGGTGGTAACCTTGAAGTCCGAGAGGTGTCTTTCCTTGTTCCTGTGAATACAGACTGGTCTGTTATAAACCATGGAAAATCATTATTTGCACAGCTAAAATAGAACGCCTTCGCTTAAAACATTATATATCAAACACTCCAAATTGGTGGCTGTGTGTGTTCACTTCTCAGGACCTGTGTACTTCCTGCATTGTTTCCAAACAACTGCACAAAACGGGACATAGGCAGAATGCATCCAGATCCTTTGTAGTATAAACTTGAATTCTATATCCGGGATGGGTCAGTATTACAGAGCTGTAGGTCTCTTTTTCATCAAACTTAGGTGGTTTGCCTTTCCACCACTAGGTTGTGATAGAGGCCAGGACGAAAATAACATGGAGTTGTGCCGGTTACACGGGGAAGCAGAATTATGATGATTTTGCAGGGATAGTGACTGTCCCCTTAATTAACAGGAATTTACCCCTTTTCAAAGAGGGTTGTGATTTGGGGGCAGATTTTCCAATGAACTCAGGAGTCAGATTTTCAAGTGCTCAGTACCGACAGTTGGGAGCAGATTTTCAAAATAATTCAGCATCCAACATACTCCCCAAAATGCTGAACTCTTCTGAGAGTCTAGTTGCATATTTAAATTCCCCACAGGGGAGCTGAGCTCTTGAAAATCTGACTCTGTTTTGTGGGTGCTGAGCCCTTCTGGAAATTCTGGTTGTAGGAATTAATTTGGTCCCTCCTTGCCTCTGGAGTACTAGGTGACATTGGCTAAAAATGACTCTTTCCATGGGCTTGTCTTCACTACCCGCCCGGATCGGCAGGTGGAAATCGATCTCTTGGGGATCAATTAATCGCGTCTCGTCGGGACACGATAATCGATCCCCAAATCGACGCGCGTACTCCACCAGCCCAGGTAGGAGTAAGCGCCGTTGACGGGGGAGCCGCGGCGGTCGATTTGCCGCCATCCTCACAGCGGGGTAAGTCAGATCAGATACGTCGAATTCAGCTACGCTATTCCCGTAGCTGAATTTGCGTCTCTGAAATCGATCCCCCCCCCCCCGCCCCGTAGTGTAGACGTAGCCCATGTATACTTTGGAAAAAGATCACACCATTTCGCTCTAATGTGAACCTTGCCAGGTCATCTAGCTCTTCGCGACCTCCAGAGTTACCTAGATCTTTTTGACCTGCAGATTGGATTACAGTAAGATGCCCTACTTGGGGAGCTTGAAGCTATAACTGCAGCTGAATGAAGCAGCTCACTTGTGTTTTTAGCTTCAGGGAGCTCACTACACTAGTCTGGGCCAGCTCCAGGCACCAGCCGAGCAAACTCGTGCTTGGGGTGGCGGATTCTACAGGGCGGCATTCCGCCCAATCCTAGGGCGACACGGCCGCTTTTTTTTTTGTTCGCTGATCCGGGTTCGCCGATCCGGCCGCCCTGTAGAGGGTGGCAGCGTGGAGGAGGGGAGCGCCCTGCTGGGAGTGGGCTGCGCGCTTTGTCTGCCCCAGCCGGTGCCAAGTCTGTAGCAAGCCCGGCAGAGCAGCCCGTGTCCTTCCCTCCCTGCCGACTGAAGCGGCGCGGAGCCCTCCCGGCAGGTGGTGCGGCAGTCAGGGCCGCAGGGCGAGCGCCCCGCTGAAGCCCTGGCTGCCCCCCTTCTCTCTCTCCCCCTTTCCCTCCCCCTCCCCCCCGCTATCTGGGGCACGTCTCCAGCGCAGGGAGTCCCCCTGCACCTGCGCTCCGGCCACCCCACGGGTTTTTTTTTTTTTTCTTCCCCCCCCCCCCCCGCCCCCCGCGCTTTTTTTTTTTTTTTTTTTTTTTGCTTGGGGTGGCAAAAAAGCCAGAGCCGGCCCTGACACTAGTGCTCCGAAGACAGCACTGTCTCCTTATTTGCTTCCAGGTGGAGTTTAAGGTGTGGAAAGTAATCTTTAAAGCCATATAAGGCTTGTATTTCCCAAGAGACAGATCTTGATTCAGGAGTTCTGTGCCCCCATTTCTTGGAGAGAACCCGAGTTTTCTGACCTTCAGGGCATTTCTGAGCTAGTGGGATGATTGTGGCAAAGGTAGTGTGGGATGATGGTACTGATCTTTTTGTAGCTAACTGGTGTATGTTCTGTTCATAATTTATGTATGTGTAGCTGGAAGGCATGAGATGTGTGGATTTTTTAAAACTAAAAAGAGAGAGATTCCAAATTCTTCATCAACCACTAATTTCACTTTGCAGTGTTTTGGGATTCTAATGAGCATGAAAGGTATTTCATACCTGAAGAAGAAGGCAAACCACATTGTTTAATGATAATACTGTATAAATGTTTTATTCTTTATTCCTCCACAGGAGGTCTCCAGCAGCGAGTCAGCCACCAGTCTCCAGAGTTAGCCTGCAAGGTATGAATGTGATTTGTAATCACTGGAAAGTTTCAAAGTAAACTGTGTGTCCCGTGTTATATATCATACTGTTAAAACTGTGATCTCTTATTTTATAAGATATCTTGCCTGATTCTCCTCTCTCACTGATATAAATTAGATATACCTAATCAGGCCTATTTTATATATATATATATATATATATATATATAGTCTTGTTCTTATTTTTACCCTTTATGTGCAAGAAGAACATTGTAATTTTGGGCGGCCAGCCACGGCTGCAGAAGGTAATTAATTTGTTATCCTTAGGATTCCCTATTCTATATAGGCCTGGACAGGCCCTATATGACAAAACTTAAACAGGCTCAGACATAGCTATATATTTTACATTTGTTTTAATTTCAGTTTATTTCCATTGGAACTGCATAAGAGCTAAAATCAAAAGTTAAATCCTGAAGACCTTTTTCAGGCAAAATTCCTATTGTCTTCATTAGGATGTTCTGAAATGTTTTAAAAAAATCATTTATTCAGTGACAAAGAGAGAGAGTGCATGCCAGTGGATTGAATTAATTCTTATTAATTAATTCTTATTAATTAATTCACTGGGACCAGATGGTATTCACCCAAGAGTTCTGAAAGAACTCAAATGTGAAATTGTGGAACTATTAACTATGGTTTGTAACCTGTCCTTTAAATCAGCTTCTGTACCCAATGACTGGAAGATAGCTAATGTAACGCCAATATTTAAAAAGGGCTCTAGAGGTGATCCCGGCAATTACAGACTGGTAAGTCTAACGTCAGTACTGGGCAAATTAGTTGAAACAAGAGTAAAGAATAAAATTGTCAGACACATAGAAGAACATAAATTGTTGGGCAAAAGTCAACATGGTTTCTGTAAAGGGAAATCGTGTCTTCCTAATCTATTAGAGTTTTTTGAAGGAGGTCAACAAACATGTGGACAAGGGGGATCCAGTGGACATAGTGTACTTAGATTTCCAGAAAGCCTTTGACAAGGTCCCTCACCAAAGGATCTTATGTAAATTAAGTTGTCATGGGATAAGAGCGAAGATCCTTTCATGGATTGAGAACTGGTTAAAAGACAGCGAACAAAACGTAGAAATAAATGGATAATTTTTCAGAATGGAGAGGGGTAACTAGTGGTGTTCCCCAAGGGTCAGTCCTAGGACCAATCCTATTCAACTTATTCATAAACTGGAGAAAGGGATAAACAGTGAGGTGGCAAAGTTTACAGATGATAGTAAACTGCTCAAGGTAGTTAAGACCAAAGCAGACTGTGAAGAACTTCAAAAAGATCTCACAAAACTAAGTGCTTGGGCAACAAAATGGCAAATGAAATTTAATGTGGATAAATGTAAAGTAATGCACATTGGAAAAAATAACCCCAACTGTACATACAATACGATGGGGGCTAATTTAGCTACAACTAATCAGGAAAGGGATCTTGGAGTCATCGTGGATAGTTCTCTGAAGACGTCCACTCAGTGTGCAGCAGCAGTCAAGAAAGCAAACAGGATGTTAGAAATCATTAAAAAAAGGGATAGAGACTAAGACGGAGAATATCTTATTGCCCTTATATAAATCCATGGTACACCCACATCTTGAATACTGCATCCAGATGTGGTCGTCTCATCTCAAAAAAAGATATACTGGCATTAGAAAAGGTTCAGAGAAGGGCAACTAAAATGATTAGGGGTTTGGAACGGGTCCCGTATGAGAAGAGATTAAAGAGGCTAGGACTTTTCAGCTTGGAAAAGAGGAGACTAAGGGGGGATATGATAGAGGTATATAAAATCATGAGTGGTGTGGAGAAAGCCAATAAGGAAAAGTTATTTACTTGTTCCCATAAAAGAACTAGGGGACAGCAAATGAAATTAATGGGCAGCAGGTTTAAAACAAATAAAAGGAAGTTCTTCACATAGCGCACAGTCAACTTGTGGAACTCCTTGCCTGAGGAGGTTGTGAAGGCTGGGACTATAACAGGGTTTAAAAGAGAACTAGATAAATTAATGGAGGTTAAGTCCATTAATGGCTATTAGCCAGGATGGGTAAGGAATGGTGTCCCTAGCCTCTGTTTGTCAGAGAGTGGAGATGGATGGCAGGAGAGAGATCACTTGATCATTACCTATTAAGTTCACTCCCTCTGGGGCACCTGGCAGTGGCCACTGTTGGTAGACAGGATATTGGGCTGGATGGACCCTTGGTCTGACCCAGTATGACCATTCTTATGTTCTTAAACACATGTAGTTTATTGTCTGAATTACCTCAAAGCAGTGTTCAGACTTAGAGAATATTATAGAAGTTTCATGGACACAATGATTCATGACTGTTGAAGATGGATGCCCCATTTGCTGCTGTTGTAGGTAATTGTTACTGAACGCTGCAACTTCTTGCTACAGAGTAACAGCCCCTACATTAGCAAAAGGTTTCATTTAGCCGTTACTGTCAGGGCTGACCCTAGGCATTTTGCTGCTCTGTGTGTTCACCTCTCTTTCCCCACCCTCCACTAATCCATCTCTTGAATCCCACCCCAAGTTTTATAGGGTTATTTGACATTTTCCCATTAATATTTCTCTGATTGTGGTTTTAGATTCACTTGTTCCCCTTTATGTATGTATGTTTCTTCTTTTTCCCTTTTCCTTCACTCTTTCTTGGTGAATCTTTTCCTCCTTTTTGTCTTCCTGTTTTCCCCTCAGAAAAATTTCCCTTAGTGTATACTTTTCCATCACTGCGATTCCCTCTGTCCATTCCACTTTTCCCAGGTTTTGTTTTTACCAGTCTCTCTGCCTGCCTCTCTCTCTCTTCTTCTCGGTCACTGCCTCCTTTCTTTTTTTCACTTTCCGGACGTTCCTATTATATATCCTAACTGTTCCCCTTCACGTGTACCCTGTCACTCAGACTTGTGCACACATGCTTCTTCCCCCTCAGAGACCAACACAGAAGGGTTCTGGGTTCTCTTTGGTCTTGGAGGGGAATAATATTAAGCCAAGTCTCCAGAAGGAGTGCACCAATCAGGGCTCAGCTGAGCTCACACTGCCAGGGTTAGTCTTACCACACAGAGCAAAGTGAGTCCCAATCAATAGTTCAGCACCTGTTCTACCACAGTCTCTGCTGGGGTTGAGGGCAGGTGGGAGAGGAGTGTGCAGTGGCTGCTTTGTGGCAAAAGAGGAGCAGCAAAGGGAGGCAGAGGGCGAGAACAATCCTTGTGGGTGACAGGAGAGCAACAGAACGTAGGTGAAGAAGCAGAGAGAGGGATCAGCTACTGGGGTGTGGGAGGCAGAAGGAGGAAGCTGCATCTTGAAGGGGATTTGTTTATTTTTGCCAGGTTTGTTTATTGTCTATTTCCCCCCACACACACCCCATGTTGCCAATGGAAGCAGCAGCATGGTGCACCTGTAGGGCAGGGACAGCCCTGTTTGCAGCATATGAAGCTTTATTTCCTACCAATAAACAGATGTGGATGTGAAACTATTCATTCATAAAATTTTATCTTCTCATTTTCAGTAATTATGCGCAAGGAGTGACTGCTAAAGGGTGATTTTCATATTGGGTGCTATTCAGTCGCGGCTGGATTAATAGCTAACATAGTCATTTGATTTTTCCTAAACTGATCCATATTTTGTGATATCAAAATATTTATTATATTGGAGACTCTTCTGGTAGGTTAGTCAAAAAATAACTAACCCCTCTAATGCGAAAGCCTCTAATGCAGTGTTCACATATCATCTTAAACTCCTCATTTGCTCACTGTCATATTCTCAGCATTCAGATAGGATTAAGAGGAACACAATTCACCACTTTTATCTGTAAATTATGATTTTAGTAGGATTTTTGTCTCATATGCCTTATGAAAAAGTCCTGTGCAATTTAATAGAGAATGATAACCTTACCATAGAATTTTTGTATACCACTTAAAGAATTTTACAGCAAGGATATCATTCTCTGTTCAATTCTGTACATACTGTATTTAGAGTAATTTCTATAGACCCCTATTTCTGCATTTACAGAGAAATTATAGGGATTTGCACAGTTGCCAACTCTTGAGATTTTATCATGAGCCTCATGATATTTGGCATTTTGCTGAAAGCCCCAGCACCTTGAATCATGTGATTTTTATGAATCTCTCTGCTCTTTTTTTTTTTAATTTTTTTCTTTTTTTTTCCCTTGGCCTTCGTGGTTCTGGAGAAAAGCATGAAAACATGAACACTAAAAACCTCAAAAACCAGAAGACAAATGAAAAAAGACCCAAAATTTATTATTTTTAAACCTGTCTCATGATTTTTGAATACTTGGGGTTGGTAATACTGATATTACTACATTTATCTTGCATTCAGATAACTTATGCTAGACATAAAAGCATATCTTGGTATTTATCCATGATATGAAGGCGACATGCATTTCATCATCAGTATGTGGATTTATTTTTATCTTAGTATTACAAAACGGCAGTGAAGCAAAATTGTGCCTCATTTTAGTGTTTAGGGCCTGTGGTTGAGCAGTGAGCACCCCCCGGCACATTGGAAAGTTGTCGCCTGTAGCTCCAGCCCCGGAGTCGGTGCCTATACAAGGAGCTGCATATTAACTTCTGAAGAGCCGCATCTGGTTCTGGAGCCACAGGTTGGCCACCCCTGGTTTAGAGAGAGGGGGATTAATCCTTCTCTTAGATGGATCATAGATTAGAATGGCACCCAGAGGGTTTATTGTCCATGTTTCCCATGTAAACTCTGTGGGTTGAATCCTAGCGCTGCTGAAGTCAAGTGGAGTTTTGCCTTTGACTTCAGTGGGGCCAGGATTTCATCCCATATTGCTTAGTGCTTATGCCATAGGTTTTACCAACTTTACCCTAGCTGCCCTCCCCTACAATCAGATAAGTGAAGTGAAGATAGAGTAGAGATTAGGTAAGTAAATTAAATAGTATTTTTAGGGCAGCATTCTTGAGTAGGGAGACTTCATTAGATTTTATTTGGTTTCCATGCAGGTGTAACACCGACAGACTCCGGTTG